ATTGTAGTATCTTAGTATTGTAGCTTTGAAAAGCTACAAACTCATTATTTTATTGCTCACTCTCAATCACAGTACCTTAACAAACTAAAACAAAATATGAATCAATTAAACATTATCATTATTGGCAACTCTGCTGAAAATTATACTTTTGTACTCCAAGATGAAATACAAAGCTATTATTAAAACACCAACAATGTTCATCCATTAGTGATTTACGATAAAGATGATAAAGGTGTACTAAAACATATTTCTTACAGTTTTATATCAGACGACATTACACATGATGTAACTTATGTACAAAGTATTTCAACTAATCATACTAATCTTAAAAACAAAATTTTCTAATCTGTCCAAATTACATTTATTCACTGATGGTTGCGCAGGACAGTACAAAAATTGTAAAAGCTTTTACAATCTATGTTAACTAGAGAGCGAACTTGCCCTTAAAGTTGAATGTAACTTTTTTGCCACATCCCACAGAAAGTTACCATGCGATGAGATTGGTGGTACTGTAAAAAAGGTTAACAGCGCAGGAAAGTTTAAAATGAGCATACAGAAACCAAATTCTCACATCAGAAGCTATGTATGAATTTTGTATTGAGAAAATCAGTGGTTAACTTCATTTACATAAAGGGAATGGACTTACAATTGCAACATGAAGTGCAAAAAGAAAGGTACACTAGTGTAAAAACTCTAACTGGTACTCATAGCTTTCATCAATTTATACACCTTGGAGATAACAGGGTTGGGGCAAAGAGGTTTAGTATGGACACTAATTATACAATAATCCACAATCGTAAAAAGAAACAAGATATATTTCAACTTGATACTGTTGCTTTAGGAGGTTATGTAGCAGTAGTCTATTATGATAAGTGGTGGATCAGCATTGTAACTGGAATCAACCAAGAAGAAGTTGATGCAAAAGTTAATTTTCTTCACCCAAAAGGTCCATCAACCTGTTTTAACTGGTCTGAAAGAGATGACTACTATTTTATTTCCAACACCAAAATATTGAAAAAATTATCTGTTCCACAAGCTTGCTCTAGTTCCGATAGAAACTATGTGCTGAAATAGTAGAAGTACAAGTAAAATGGGATATTGTGAACTATTACAAACACAGTCAAAATAACTTACATCTTCAATACCTTTAAAAAGTCTTGTAGATTCAAGTATTTTTTAAATTACGAATAACTTATTTTTATTTACAAATATTTTTGGGGAAAAAGTAATACATTTTTGAAATTAAAGTTCTATACGTTTCAGTTGTTTTTCCAGTTAGATATTTTGTGCCTAGTAAGATTATAAGCAGCTGAAAATATTAACAGTAAAAAAAAAAAAAAAAAAAAATTGACTGTGATGCTTTGAGATAGTGGGCCCCAAAGTTGGTTTATAGAAACTAGTTGTTTTAGTAACTTTTAAGCATGTTCATTTTATATTTCAGCATTTCAAGTACATTAATTGAATTCAACATCAAAAAAAAAAAAAAAAATTATATATGTTTATTTGCATATTTTTTCCATTTTTATTTCTTATTTTTTTTAAAAAAAAAATGTTTTTTTAGAATGTTTTGAAAACTGTTAAAATTGCAGTACCTTAGCTGAAATTTTGCTTGCAATATTTTTTTATAATTAAAAATGTGTCAAAATATAAAATAAAAAGAAGACACATGGTTCAATGGACTGGGTGATTTGATGTGGAATTACCCTATGTTATTGGTGAAATATTTGTAAAAAATTATTATTAATAAATCGTTGCTTGAATTTTGTGCTTTTATACTGGACATTGGTCCAAAACCATTTAATAGTATTTAGCTAACTAATCTTTTCTCCTCTTTTCCTGAGGCTTTTATGACTGAATATGTTCTAATAGAACACATTTAACTGTAAGAGTCTGGTGGCGAATGATAAATGTTAATTTAACAAGCATATGTATTGCAAAAAAAAAAAAAAAAAAAAAAAAAAATAATCATGTGAAATACTAATATTATAATAATATATACTTAATAACAACCACCCTAAAAAAAAAAAGGTACACAAAAATAAAAAAGGTACACAAATTAATAATTTTTTCAAATTCATTTTAATTTTTTTTAATTTTATTTGATTTAAACTAATTTTATTTCATGTTTCTGTATTTTTGAAAGGTTTTTTCTGCAAAGTATAAAAACGCTTAATATAATAAAACTTGTAAATGCATTGATCAAGCTTTCTAAACTTTTTTTGTGGACAAACAAGACGAAAAACCGTATGTGTCTCCTGGGAATGCTTGTATTAAGTATGTTTTTATTAAGTTATTTGCAAATTTGAAAACATTACAATTAGCCATTTGGTATTATTTAAATTTTTAGTGTAAAATCTTTTAACTGAGGTTGAGTCTGAAATCATACAATTTGCAGACGATATTACATACTCAGCAGAAGTTCCCATTCTTGAATTATTAAAAAAAAAAAAAAACTGACAGTAGCTTTTCAAAAAATTATTGCAGTAAATTTGATCTGCATACAAATAAAACTCAACTTATAATCTTCAAAGCTCTTTGAAAGAAAATTCTAGATAATTTTACAATATTTCTAAAAAATATAGATATAAAACCTTTTCAAAGTGTGAAATTACTAAGAGTTTATCATGATCAACATCATCAAAAAATTCCATTTTAATCTTGGAAAAGTTCTGAAGAGCAGCTTACAATTTTAAATAATTAGTAAACTTTAATACTAGCTTACTATGGATGGTTTATAGACATGAAATACAATAGTACCTTCTATGAATACTATTTCATAAATTGAATTGTATACAAAAAAAAATTATTAAAAAAAATTAGCAAAAATATATGCCATGGGGAAAAAAATTGATATGCTACACTTCTTATTGAAAAATTTAAGTTAGAAACAACAGAAATTTGATTTTTTTTAACAAAAATTAAAAAAAAAACCTGGAATTTGTTATAGAAGTTTATAGTTTTGTATAGTTTGTATTAAACATACAGTGCTATGCCCTCCCCCTCCCAAAAAAAAAAAAAAAAAAAATCAAGCAAGGATATAAAACCTGTATGCATTTTGAAGAATTTCCTTATAAGTTTTCATGAAAATTAAACAACTAAAAATTTTTTAAGAAGTCAGAACTTCAAAAAGAAAAGATGTTAAGGAGTGTGTAAAAGTTGCTGAGAATAAAGTAAAGAGTGTAAAGAAAATATATACATGGCACAGTGAAGAGAACCATGGTGCAGAGAACATATGGAAAAATAGCCAAACACCCTCTGTACAGTTGGACTGTATTTGATATTAGTAGATGGTCTCTGGATTCTGTGAATGATTGGTTGTTATTAAGGTAAGTAACTACAAAGCTTATACAAGGGGTAGACTAGGGGTAATGTAGTAGGGTTTACCATGTAAGACCCCACTGCATTAAAGTCTAAAAAAGCTTCTGAAAAATGGATTGGAAGCTTATTTACTAGATAGAATGCTATCGAATTACAGAACAATACAGCAATCAGGAAAATACAGAAGCCCCTATAAGATGAAGAAGAGGTTGCCAATAGCTCTCCTCACTATGAGCTTTAAAAAGGGATCACGCTTATGGTATCATCAGAAACCAGATTCAAAGTCAGAACTTGCAGTATTTATCTCTCCAGTTGGTCAAAATATTGACATCATAAAAAATAATAATTTATGTAAATTAGCACATGAAAAATAAATAAACAGTTAATTGAGACCAAATTTTAAAAAAATTATACAAAATAAAAAGTTATATTAAGACCACTGAAGCAGTTAATAATGGAGATTAATAATAAAGTCACAATTTCATAATTAATGAAAATTTGATCTGATTATTAGTGAAAAGGTTGATAAACAGTTTTTTTTTCTAAGGAGAGATGTATTCAAAGAAGTATTTGACCAACAATGAGACAAATAAATACATTTGAGGGATGTAAAGCTGTAAATGCAACAGTAGGCAGACAAAAGGGAGCAATATTTCTTAACATTATGTGTGTGTGCATGTATATATACACACACATTTTTAGGTGGTTTATTTTTATTTTAAAATGGATTTTCCTGATATTTCCCTGATCCATTAACTGTTTAATTATTCATTACCTGATTTAATTTAAAGTCACTGTGTACCATATAAAACTTGAGCTAAATAAGTTTGAAGAAGAGCCATTTTGCCTTATTTTTCTAAAATTTAACCCAATTTTCCTATTATTCTCTGAGTTTTTTTGGAGATATATGAATTCTCTGACTTTTTTCTATTTTCCATGATTTGGCAAACACCCTGCGATACAAAGGGGATATTTAAATGCAATGATATAATAAAATAATAAAATCTTTATTAATTAATATTATTATTCAATCTTTTTTAAACTAAGCAATAAATAAAGTAACCTTGCAAAATGAAAAAAAAAGTTAAACTATGATTGAGATATTAATAAGTGTAAATAATGCTGGATATTATTTTTTATCAAAATAATATTCTGCATTATTTATGGATATTATGTTTGATATCAAAACAAGCAAATACAGGTTTCATTAAAATATTACATTGAGATTTTCTCTATTCTTACTTAAGTGACCTGAAACTATTCAGTGACGTAAATAATGTTTAAAGCCCTTGTCTGTTAAAATCATACTAGAGTACCCTAGAAACTTTTATTTGGATTATAAAAAGTCAAAAAGGTTTCGGAACACTTTCACCCTGGCTCTGAAAATAATGACAACCTTGAAATAAATCTTGACAAAGCCACTGCAGGAAAAAACAATTAAAAAAAAAAAACAAGCTCTCTTCTATGTCACCACAATGACTAAAAGTAAAAAAAAATCATAAAAGTTACTGTAGCTATGTAAATACAATAGCATAACTTTTTCTTGCATTAAAAAAAAAAAAATCAGTAGAATGTAAAGAACGTTAATTATTTAATTGTAAGCAAAAAAAAAAATTTTTTTTTTATTTGAAGTATACATGAGGACTATTTGAAAAATAAACAACTAGAGCTTAAACACTTACAAATTGCCCTTCATCAACACCTATAACATCAAACTCTTTAGTTAAATGCTTAACGTCTCGAAGAACAGTGCATGCAACAGCTTCATGAACTCGTCTGTTAGAATTAAAATAAAATAAAAAATTTTACTCTAGCATAATCATACAACTTGGTCACATATTGAACTATGCAACTGTATAATATATAAAACCATAACTTATATGAATTGGTATAAAAGTACACCTAGTTAAAATTAAACAACAACTATACTATATTATATCAAAAATATCAACAACAAAAAAAGAAAGACAAGACAAAAAAAAAAACAACAACAGGAAGTTTAATTTTGGAATCATTTAATATAGGTTACGTTATGTCAACATCCACGTTATTGTCAATGCATTAATGCTTACAACACCATATTAATCTACATTATGTTGTCAGTATGATAATGGTTGCAACAAATTGTTAAAAAGATAACAAATACTTACTGGTCATGTGTGGAAACACCATTGTTGCTATAACGAATATCTTTTTCATATTTAATTAATAAACACTTGTAACGAGCAAAACTGTAACGAGTAATTCTTCTCAGAAGTTCAGTTCTAAATACAGTAACATTAGAGCTTCAGGAAAAGTTAAATCAATATTTTATATTTATTTTTTTATTATTACTATTTTAATTTGAAGAAACTTATTTCTTACGTTTTTCCAGAAAACATTGGACCAAAGATAAGCTAAATTAAAAATAAACAATAAATTAAAAAACTTTCACATACACTAACAATACAATCTTTAAAAGGTTTTGTCATAGTTTCAGTATATAAATACGTATACTTTTTTTAAAACTACCTTTATATATACCGTTAAAAATAGGTCAATTACTATTATTACAAAAGTATTTTTTTCATCAAATTAAGCAATAAATTTCACACTAAAATATAGTTAACAAAAATATAACTACCTGAATTTGCCCATTGTTAACATGAGGATAAGAATGTTGACGGTAAATCAAAAGTTTATCAAGACTCATTCTTTGTTGCACAAAATTAACACAAATATATATTCATATATATTATATATATATATATACATATAAACTTATATATACTTTGAACTCATGAATACATGAATAGACTTGGCGCAAAAACTCTTTGCCCAAAAGCACGTGTTTTTTGAAGATTGCGCAAAAGCAAATTAACGGCTCCGAGACAATATTTATTAATACTTTGAAATAAATAAAAGCGAAGCAGATAACTCTGTAGCGTAAAGTACGATAAATTTAACTTTTTTTTTCAAGCGCGTTTATAACTCTTTGTAAAATGTTTTTTTTTTTGAAACTAATGATATTTAAAACTTTTCAAAAATATTTATTCAATAATGTTTAAAGACATCTAAATTAACTGATTTTGTTAAAAAACTTTGAATTTTTTTACCTTAACATGTTTTGAAAAAAAGCTGTTGCATGTAACATTATTTTTTTAATATTTATACAAAAAAATTGAGCGGAAATATAAACCCTGTCTTAAAACTAAACATTAAAGTTTTCTATAAAAACACTATAAAATCGTGTACATAAAAAGTAAAATTACGCGATTTTCATTTTCTTCCATTCATCAGGTGAAGTTCATTTTTTTTTCATTAAAATATTTATATACAAAGTCGTTAGGCAAAGCTTTTATAAGAAGCGGTATTACTGATAAAACTAATATTTTTTGTGGAATTTTATCGCTATTCATTCAATCATAAGAACAGTCATTGGGTCGAGATAAATTTATCGTGATGAATGATTGATATTTTGTAAAGTAAACGTCGGCTGCTATTGGCTTTGTAATTTTTCAAGTCTTATTGACATGGTCAGTATGAATCATGACTACTTTCTTACGTCGGATGTAATCCGACATTAATATATATAAATATATATTATAGGTATAAATGTGTTCGTGTATCTGTGTATGTATGTATATATGTATGTATGCTTTTATATATATGGGTGTGTATGTGCTGTTAGTATGGGTGTGTATGTGCTGGTAGTCTATATATATTCATCAGAAGCTTACTTTCTAAAAGTTGTCATTCTACCAGGGTCGTTGCTAGAAGTACAGACGGGAACAATTGTTTGTGGCACACCAAGTATACTCTGGACTACGAGTGATTCTTTTTTAGCTATTTATCGCACAATGGTTTTCCTAGGATGAACTAGGTGTTATTAAAAAATTATAGAAGTCAAGTGCTGTATAAAATATTAAAATGTTTTGTTTTTGGGAGTAAGATTGGGATATTTTAAATGGATAGGATGTAAATAGCCATGCTCACAAAAAAAAAAAAAAAAAAAAAAAAAAAAACTCTGTTTAGGAAAACTATTTGATTGATTGCTACAATCAACGTAAATTTTGTGAACCTTCTAAACTAAGAAAACTCATCAGCTCTACTGGTAACGAAAGATTACTGATAAAACCGGTTCATATATAAAAAAAACAAAAACCAACAAACAAACAAACAAAAAAAAAAAAACCCGAAAAA